ATGACTGGGCCAGGCACAGCGGTGCCTCATGCCTGAAATCCCAGCACTTTAGGAGGCCGAGGCAAGAGGATTGCCTGAGCCCAGGGGTTCAAGATCGGCCTGAGCAACTTGGTGAGACCTCATCTCTACAATAAATTGAAAAATTAGCTGAGCGTGGTGGTGCACACCTGTAGTTCCAGCTACTTGAAAGGCTGAAGTGGAAGGAGCCCGGCAGGTCTAGGCTGTGGTGGCCATGAGCATGCCACTGCAATCCAGCTGACAGGGTGAGACCCCAGCTCAAAAAAAGAAAGAAATAAAGGGAGAGAGCGAAGGAGGGAGGGAGAGAGAAAGAAGGAAGGAAGAGGGAAGGAAAGAAAGATTAAAAGAAAGAAAGAAATCACATGACTGCCAAGAATAGGACCCGTTTATCAGAGGCTCCAGAAACCTGGTTACAAGATTTATTGTCTGCCTGGCCTAGAGATTAAACCTGTAAACTAGTTTAATACAACATGGCAATATATGTGAACAGCAAGTGACCTTCAGGCTCATTATACCCAGATATGGGTAGAAAAGGAGAGGGTACTCAATTCTGGGAAATCTCCCCTCTTTTCCTGGAAAACCCATGAATATTCTGCTCCATAATATGAATATTCCACTGTTAGTTAGATATAGCTATGAGAAGAAAAACCCAAACTCCACTGGGCCTAACTCACTCTCGCCAGCATGCCTGGGCATTCCTTTTCTCTTGAGTGAGTACTTTTGCTTTATAATAAAACTCTTGCAGCCAGGCATGGTGGTTCACACCTATAATCCCAGCACTTTGGGAGGCAGAGGCAGGAGAACTGCTTGAGCCCAGGAGTTCAGGATCAGCCCAGGCAACATAATGAGACACTGTCTCTACAAAAAAAAAATCAAAGAAAATAGCTGGGCATAGTAGTGCATGACTCTAGTCCCGGCTACTCAGGAGGCTGAGGCAAAAGGATAACCTGAGCCCATGAGGTTGAGGCTGTGGTGAGCCTGATTATGCCACTGCACTCCAGCCTGGGCGACAAAGTGAGATGCCCAACTCAAAAAAACAAAAACTGGAAGGCTGAGGTGGAAGGATCACCAGAGCCCAGCAGGTCGAGGCTGCAGTGGCCAGAAGTGGCCACTACACTCCAGTCTGGGTGACAGAGTGAGACTCCAACTCAAAAACAACAAAAACAAAAACTACCAAAGGCAAACAACAGATTCAGTGCAATACCTATTAAATTACCAACATCATTCTCAGACCTGAAAATGACAATACAGAAATTGTTGACATAAACAACCAAGAATTGCCAAAACAATCCTTAGCAAAAGAAACAAAGCAGGAATCACACTTCCAGACTTCCAACCTTACAGTAAGCCTAGTATTAATCAAAACAGCCTAGTATTAATCAAAACAGCCTAGTATTGGTACAGGAACAGGCATATAGACCAATGGAACAGGATAGAGATTCTGGAAGCAAAGCTTCAATTTCTCAACCAACTCATCTTTGACAAAGCCTCCAACAACAACCACTGGGAAGAAGAGAACCTATTCAGTAAATGGTGCTGGAAAAACTGTCTGATCACCTGCAGAAGATTGAAACGGGACCCCTACCTATCACCATACACAAAAATTAACTCTAAATGGATCAAAAACCTAAACGTAAGACGTCTAACTATAAGAATCTTAGAAAATGCAGGAGACATCCTTATGAAAATTGGAACTGGCAACCAATTCCTGATCAGAACCCTAAGTGCCCATACCGTAAGAAATAAGATAGACAAGTAGGACCGCATCAAATTGACAAGCTTCTGCAATGCAAAAGAAACCATCAAGAGAGCAGGGAGACAGCCCACAGAATGGGAAAAAATATTTGCCAATTGTATATCTGACAAAGGCCTAATATCTAGGATCTATAAGGAACTCGATGTGCCAAAATGAGAGAAACAAACAGCCCCATTAAAAAGTGGGCAAAGCCAGGCTCAGTGGCTAAGCCTGTAATCCTGCACTTTTGGGAGGCTGAGGTGAGTGGATTGTCTGAGCTGCGGGTGGAGACCCACCTGGGCAGGCGAGACCTCATCTCTACAATAAATCAAAAATCAGCTGGGCGTGGTAGCGTGCCTGTAGTTCCAGCTACTTGGAAGGCTGAGGTGGAAGGATCGCCGGAGCCCAGCAGGTCGAGGCTGCGGTGGCCGGGAGCGGCCACTGCACTCCAGTCTGGGCGACAGAGTGAGATTCCAACTCAAAAAAAAAAAAAAGTGGGCAAAATACATGAATAGACACATCTCAAAAAAAGATATAAGAGCAGCCAACAGACACATGGAAAAGTGCTCAGTCTCACTCATCATCAGAGAAATGCAAATCAAAACCACACTGAGATATCACCTAACGCCAGTAAGAATGGCCATTATTAATAAAACAAACAACAGATGCTGGCGAGGATGCGGAGAAAAAGGAACACTTCTACACTGCTGGTGGGAATGCAAACTAGTACAACCTCTTTGGAAGACAGTGTGGCAATTTCTGAAAGAACTAGAAATTGACCTTCCATATGATCCAGCAATTCCTCTATTAGGAATATACCTGGAAAAACTCAAGTCATTCTACCAAAAAGATATCTGCACATGCATGTTTGTCGCAGCTCTATTCACAATAGCAAAAACATGAAACCGACCATGCTGTACATCAAAGCTGAACTGGATTAAAAAATGTGATGCATATACGTAATAGAATATTATGCAGTCATAAAGAAGGACAAACACATGAACTTCACAGCAACTTGGATGGACCTAGAGTCTATCATACTCAGTGACCTATCACAGAAACAAAGAACTAAGTACCACATGGTCTCACTCATAAGCGGACCTTGAACAATAATCACAATACTCTAAGAAAGGGATTGGCAGTAGTGGGAAACTGCCAGGGGAGTGGGGGTGGGATTGACAGTTGAGGGAAACTGCCAGGCGAGGGAGGGGCACACCTCATCAACAAGGGTACCTGCATAACGAACATTTGTATACCTAACCCTGAACTGTACTCCACATCTTTAAAATAAAGAAAACTCTTACTTTTGCTTTTGTCTTATTCTGACTCATTCTTAATTTCTTTCTCCAAATGGTGTCAAGAGCCTGAGTACCTGGCTGAAGTTGAGAGTCTCACCAACTTCAGGATACCTAGGCCCACCCGTATCAAGGCAACTCACAGTTACAGCATAAGGGACTGTTGTGAGCTTCCCAAGAGGTAAACCAGGGTCTGGCGCCAAGGTCATCATGGGAACTCCCTGTACAAGAGCAAAACTTCACCCTGCTCCCACTTCCTACCCTGGGGAGGGAGGAGTAAAGGCAGAGAGGCCAGTACGTGCACTCCTCCCTCTCCTCCAAGCCAGGAAGCAGAAGGAGCCCTCTCATCTCTTTTTCTGGGCTTCCCCAGCAGCCTCTCCGCCTGCGCTGAGTATGCACTTCCAAGAGGGCTGCCCTGGCGACGGGAGCAGCACCAGGAGGCCAGATGGCCCAGCAGTGGCCGGCTCACCTTCAGAGCATCCGGACGTGTGTCTCACACTGTGCGATCAGGGTCATTAGAAGCTCTCCTCCCCGAGGAGTGAAACGACACTCTCCCTGCCCCCCAGGTCCCTGCATCTGCTGGGCAGCCACTTTGTGCCTGGGAGACTCCTAGGAGCCGCCCAAACCAGAAACACTGCCGGACGTGCAGCTCGCAACAGTCAAACGCTGCCACATCAAGATCCTCGAAGGAAACCCTCCCCTGGGTGGCAGCTAGGCTCTGGTGGCACTGTTTGCAACGTGAGTGTTATGATCAGACTGCACTTTGATAAATGTGAAGTCTTTCCTCTAAGGCCATGCCACCCTGCATGTGCCAAATCTCGTCTGATAAATGAGAAGTCTTTGAAAGATTATTTTGAATGTATCCACTTATTTAAAAAACAAGTAGACAGCCCATTTTACTATTACTAAGGCCCTGGGATCCCAGCATTGAGAGAAGCATGAACTAAATCATAACCCAATGCCTGGATTCAGGAATCCATTTATTCTTATTTTGTATGCAATCATTAAAAGAAAGCAGTCATCACTAGGACCTGGCAAGGGGGCACTAGGAACAAGCAATAGGGTGTGTGTGTGTGTGTGTGTGTGTGTGTGTGTGTGTGTGTGTGTGTGTGTGTGTGTGTAACATATTGGTTAACAATCGGTTTAAGAGAAAGTCAAACTACTTAGCTGCTACAAATTATGGTCTGTTCAGGGATTCTCTGTGTGAGTTCTCACCACTACTAGAAAATGCCTCCCACCAGATGCAACCAATTACCCTCCCTTTCCAGACAAATCATCAACAATAAACAGGGGCCAGGTGCAGCGGTTCACACCTGTCACCCCAGCAGCGTGGGAGGCCAAAGCAGGAGGAATGCTTGAACCCAGGAGTTGAAGACCAGCCTGGGCAACACACAAGACCTCATCTCTACAAAAATTGAAGAAAAAAAAAAAAGCAATTAGCCAGGCACGTTGGCACAACTGTACCAGCTACTTGAGAAACTGAGGCAGAAGGATCATCTGAGCCCAGAAGTTCGAGGCTGCAGTGAGCTGTGAGCATGCCACTGCACTTCCGCCTGGGCAACAGAGTAAGACTCTAACTCAAAAATAAAACAGGCTGAGGCAGGAGAATCGCCGGAGCCCAGCAGGTCAAGGCTACGGTGGCCGGGAGCGTGCCACTGCACTCCAGTCTGGGTGACAGAGTGAGACTCCAACTCCAAACAACAACAACAACAAAAAACCCAAAACAAAAAGCAATAAATAGAATCACCACCTGAACTTTCTGCTCTCACCAATAACTGACCATGCCAAGAAAAAGAAAACTGCAGGGATGGTGTGGATGGGCTAGGATGTGTTCCCCCAACAATTTAGAAAGCTGAGCTCTGCCCTCCATATGACAGAGAGCACTTCTTCCCTCATGGGCTTGAGGCAATGCTGAAATGAGGTCGGTATGACTGATCACAGCCATCACCCACCTGTGATGTTGTCGTAGCTCCGGAAGTTCATTTCAATGTGGTCCCACTCCAGCACCATGCAGTTCTCCATGCTGGGCTGCGCGATGGCCACGTACACGTCGTTCTTGGAGTTGAACGTATCTACCGAGACCGACTGGTAGGGCAACGTTTGGTGAACAACAAAATCTGAGAATGGGAGTTTTAAAAGAGAAGCATTCATAAGCTCTCTGGCAAGAATCATCAGCTGCCATCACCCTTCTATCCTTCCTATCATCACATCAGTTCCGCCATGAGGTGGAGGGAGGAGCAGGAAGGAGGAGGGAGGAGCAACACACACATTTTATTTCCTTCAGGAGATTCCAGAAGGATCCCGGCTGGGGCAGGATTATCAGACCGAGCGCACAGCTTCTCGTGCAGTTTCCTGGAGATAAACAAGCTCTGAGAGTTTGGCTAAAGGATCCCAAAGTTTTCAACAAATTTGGTGAGACCTGGCTTTCAAAATGACAAGATGGAAAAGATGCTTGCAACGTCATGCAAGCTATGACGAAGGGGTGCTGTGGTTCGATTAGTCTGGAAAATGAGGCCCTTCTAGCCCTCCCAGAACAGCTGCAGCAGGAAAGAAGCCTTTTCAGTTTTGCTTGGTGTGGTGCTTCTCAAATGTATCTGACCCTGTCGGAAGACAACGCCACTGTGTATTCAGAGCTAACATCACTCTGTCCAAATGGCATGCTGAGCATTTGGAAACAAAACCCAACCCTTTGCCGTGGTCTCCAGGCTTATTAACCCACAGTGGGGGTAGTTCACCTAAGGTGGCTGGCTGGTGACTGGGCTCGGTGCAGTAGGAAGTCACTGCTGTGCCTCATGGCTTCACAGCCTTCCACAACTCCAAAGCTGGTAACAGGAGATCTGTGGGGCGGGGCGGGGGGGGGGTGTTCAGGGACTCAGATCCCCTCCTATTTAAGCATGAGATCTACTCTTAAAGTTAGTGGTAAGTCAATGCTCCTCACCTACATTGCTTCCCAAGCTGTGACCAACTCTAGAAACAATCACCTAGGAACAGGTGAAAATGCCCTTGGAAGCAAGGATAGTTGGCGTGGGGGGCAGTGGGTAACTAGAGAAATCCAGTGAAAAAAGGGACTCTAACACACACACGTACACACACTGTAGTTGAAGTTATTTACCTGGCCAGAGATGCTTCCGTGTATTATTTCTTGACAGCCTGAATGAGCCCTGAGGAAAACACGGGGTCATGGCGGATGCCCGGCTAAGGAAAGTCATTCCTAGGAGGAAATCCCGGCTTCGCTCGTCTCTTCCACTCAATCCTTACCTATTCCTACTCAAGTCTCCTCTGAAAAGTCTTCCTGGACCAGTCCAATTCATGAGACCCTCCTGTCTCCCTGGACTCATAACAAGGCACTGTTGTTTAAATCTTATTATTCACTATGGATCCAAACAATAATATCAGAGTTCAAGTTGGAGCTATGGGAGGGATCTTAGAGCCTTGAGCTCAGAAGGGGTGAGTGTACGGCCGTGGCCATGCAGCCGGGGTGGCATGACTGAGGGCTCCCCGAGGGGGGTCGGGGGCCTGCACTTCTCTAAGCCCTCCAAAGCTCAAGCCCGTGACAACCATCCGGGAAATAAGTGCTGATCCGGAAGCCTCGTCGAAGATGTCCAACGGGAACAGCGACCGGGGCCACTCCGTAGTTAGTCAAGGAGGGACAGTGCAGGGAGAAATAGAGGCAGGGAGGAGGTGAGAAGGACTGAGTGAGTGTTGAGGTGGGAAGAGAAGAGCCAGTGACCTGTGGCAGGAGGAGCAGGGAGGGGCAAGGGGGAGGGGAACATGAGGCCGGGAGCAAACACTGTGTCCAGAGACAGACAGCCGGCCTGAGACTATTTCCCACACTGCAGCCCTGTTCTGGTCGCCTCTCTCTGAAGGGCTCACTTTCTTTATTCTCATGATGGCAGCGGCAGCACTTACTTCCCAAGCTTGATGGCAAGTAACGCTGGTGGCAAAGTCCATCTCAGGTCTGAGGAAGGACAGTCTTCCCCCCGTCTGTTGGGAGCCAACATCTATAGCTACATGGCTGAGGCCTGTAAAGGCCCATCTGGAAGATCGCCTCTGACATAGGATATCAGTTATACCTATAATATTGGCGTGTGATTAGTGACCAGTGTGCATACATGGCAGTAAAACGTATAAGTAAATCTCAATACACCTGATGGAAAGTGCATAGCAGAATTATTTCTCTCTGTCTTTCTAAGTTTTGCTTCTTTCTAGATATTTTTTAACTTCTATTTCCTGGTAGACTGGGTAGTCAGCTCTTGTTCCCGAAAGCTGTTTCCCCTAGGGCTAAGATTAGAAACTAAATTACCATGATAGTTTTGTCACCCTGCCCCTAGCCAGGTAGAATGTTTTCTTTTGTTTCGTTAATTACCGAAACTCTGTCTGCTTCAGCCCATGGCCGCCATCTTGGCAAACCTGCATTTCCTTGTTCAAGAGTGTGACAGCTACTATTTGATTTTTAGAGTAGACTTGTTGGGATAAAATATATACATATACACTCATAGCTGCGTAAATCTATGCTTGCTGTTTTGTTTCCTTTTGCTACATTATTCAAGTGTAATAGTTACTATATGATTTATAAAAGAATTAACGATAAGGTATTAGCTTAATAGGATATAGCATAGTATTAAAGTCCAATAACTAGATCATATGAAAATTAAAGTTTAGACATATGAAACATATGAATTATAGTAAAGTTTTGTAGTTTAAGAATAAGTTTTAGCTGAGTTATAAGGCATTATGTTAAATCGTAATAGGATAATAGTATAACTGACAGTTAAGTCATTTAACTAAACTTATAGATTATAGTATAGTGTTAAGTTGATAATATTAATTGTTAAAAATATTGGGAATCAGTGAACTTGGATTGAACCTAGAGTTAACTCAGGAAAGTTTTTTGTATTAATCAGTGTATAGAGCAAAGAGTATAATATGAATGATTCATTGAACATTATGGAAAACACTTTGAACGATTTGTATTGAAATTGTGCACCTGTGACCTTAATGTAAGCACGGCAGGCATCATGGAATTTGAATTGTTTGCTTGGAAATTGCAGATCTCGTGGTGGTCTTGTGATGCATAGTTTGTAAAGCACGGAACTTGTACGCCCCCAGTGAGTGATTATCACATTGCTGGAGGGTATAGAAAATGGTATATAAGTTGGAAAAGGTTTGAATAAAATCGGCTCCAGTCCTGATCAGACTGTTCCCAGAAGAACTGCCTCCGAGTGGTCTTCTCGCTGTCCAGATTCTCTGGTGCGGGTCCTAACCCACCCTTGGTCAGTGCTGGCCACCGACACCCGTCCTAGCCACCGACAGGCCCATCTATTTTGATGGCATTTAAGACAAGATGCAGGAGCTGAGCCACCGCCTTCTTGCTGAATGACCGTGGGCAACGGACTTAACCTCCTGCCGTAGTTTTGACATCGTCCATTACGACGCATACTCATGGAGCCTAGCACAAAGTGAATGCTCAATACACGGTAACTTTGGTAGGTATCTCTCCTTCCGTTCTAGGTATACAGCGGGTGCTAAATACATGCGTGTTGGCTCATCAAGGGTGGAAAGGCTGGCCTCGCCCCGTGGCCCACTCAGAAGACTAGAGTAGAAGGCTGAGGGACTCAGGGAGAAGAGGGAGGCCACTGTGTCACCGGGAGCAAAGAGGAGGCTGCTTCTGCAGCCTGACAGGCAGGTGGTGACAGGCAGAGTGTGAACAAGTGGCTCTGGTGGCCAGGGTACCACTCCATCTGGCACCTCCAAAGAGAGAACAGAGCATCCCAGTGAAGGGCTGGGGCTCAGAGGTAAAGCACACTGGGCTTTGGATTCTTGCCCTGCCACTTTTAGCTACGTGACCTTGGGCAAGAAACTTGAGCCTCGGGATCTTCATCAGTAAAATGAGGGTGACATCTGGGTCATAAGGTTGCTGTAGAGATGAAATGCCAGAGAGAACAACAGTACGCGGCACAGTGCCCAGTCTATGGTGATCACTCTGTAGTTGGTGTATGCCACATTGTTGTTGCCTGCTAGAAGACTCAGGGACAAGTCATCATGGGTCCTACCCCCACCCCTCAACCCAGTCCCCAAAATAACAGTGTTGTTCAGTCAAAGCTGAAAAACAGAAAAAAGTGAACCTCTGTCCTCTCCTAGGGGCGCTGGCAGTGCCAGTGTAGAAGCCAGAGAGCATGTGCTGACTGCACGAGGCTTTGCTGGTTTCTGGGTCCACACGTAGACAAGCCAAGGAAGGGGAAATGGCCGCTGTCATCGTGTGCTCCCTCTCCCGGGGATCTAAAAGGACTCAGAGAATACAGCTGCATTCTTTTAATTACAACCGAGATGGCTATAAACTCTCCCGACATCTCCAGTTGCATTCGACTCATCCGAGTCTGCCAAAGGTTCTAAACACTCCCGCGACGCCCATAATTCACTGTCTCCTCGTTCCCATTAGCTCCACTGCACTCTGAATTCTCAGAAACGTGAGCATTCGCTTAAAAAGGCAGGCCATTTAAAGTGCAGACCAAACATTTCCGTTTCTATTGAAGCATCCCAGGATGAAAAAGAGCTGCCGGAATGGAGAGCCTTTTACAAATCTGGCCTTTCCCCAGAGAGTGGTTTCCTAATATTTTCTATGTACGATCTGGCATAACACAGATTGTTAAATCATTTGAAGTCCAAGTCTAATTCTTAATAGGAGACCCCACCCACCTCGTCCCACTCCCAAAAAGGAAGAAAAGAAAAAGAGAAAAAGAAAGGAGTGAAAAGAAAATGATGGGTGCCTATGTGTTTGTGGGTATCAGAGGAGAGGACTGGAGGAATTTAAATATCTTCTCCCATTGCTTAAGCCCAGAAGTTCGAGACCAACCTGGGCAACACGGTGAGACCTCGTCTCTACAAAAAAATTTTAAAAAATTAGCTGGGCATGGTGGTGCATGCCTGTAGTCTCAGCTACATGGGAGGCAGAAGGATTGCCTGAGCCCAGGAGGTGGAGACTGCAGAGAGCCATGACGTCACCACCTGGGTGACAGAGTGAGATCCCAACTCAAAAACAAACAAATAACCAAAACCAACAACAACAACAAAACACAATCAATATCTCCTCCTACCCCCAACATAACTTGCCTCTCACAAACAGCAAACCCCATTCACTGTGAAAAGATCTCGAAAATACATGTATTGATATGACATCAATTTACCAGTGTTAAAATATTAATGGCACTCTGCAAAAGAGCTGCCACTTCCATTCACAATGGATTAAGTTCATGATGTCAGTGGGACTCTTACAATTCAGGCCTTTCTCCCACCGGAATCAACAGATTTTTACATAGCTATTTATAGCACTTGCAGAAAATAAATTATACATGATGCCCATCCCACTGGGAGAGAAACTGCACATTAATGCATTATTTCTCTTTGCATTTTCATCAGCCCTGAAATAGGGAAGCTAACAGGACAATTAGGATGCAAAATTCACTCTCTCTAAGGAATTTAGTGAATTATCCACCTAACACGGGGAATCATCAGTAGGTAGCAGGGATTTTTGAGGTGGCTAAAAATAGACTTGGAGAGGAGGGTTATGGAAGGACTGACGAATCTGAAGAACTGAGACAGCCCAATGGAGGCTTTGTGGTATCCATTACACCCGTTGGCCAGAGAACAGAATGATAACAATAACTTCCTCTCTCTGGGAAAAACAGGGTGAGAAACCCACCTGAAAAAATGTACTCCCTTCCTGAAAATCTGAGCTAAATTATGGAAAGTGGCGTACGTGGAAAACATGCTTCTTTCTAACCGCTAGTAAGGATATGATAACCGGACCGTGAACTCTCAAGTCTGGCTTTACATTTTTCCCTCCGTCCTTACTCATTTCCTCCCAGTCTTTCAGGAAGCACCAGGGGCCGAGGCTTGCTCTGAGCAGCAGAGTCAAACCCCAAACACTCACGACTGATTGACCCAGTTCTTACACGGAAGGGACTGTATTTGAGGCTGGGACACAACTTTACTGCACCACTTTTTTCCGTTGGAAGTGAAAACCACAAGCAAGAGCGAATCTGTTCCTGATTCTGAAAGGATGAAACCACCGTGAAGTCAGAGTCATCAACTCCCTTTTGCCAGAAAGCCTCCTGCTGACTTTCCTAAGTTGAGGAGGAAGCTGTTCGTGAAGACAGATCTGCATAAGACACAGGAGGCCCTACAATGTGTTGGAGGCTCGTGTGAACCCACAGGCCCCAGGTGTAGGACAGTTTTCAGGACCCAGCTACCTCAGTTCCAAGCCACGTGCATTCTAATAACAGCTCTCAGAGCCTGGGTCATTTCTACAAGGCCCTGAGGTCAGCAAACATGTTCTCTTGTATATACTATTTTCTATTTCCATGGCCCTCTGCAGCCATGCCACTTCTCTCAGACTGGCAAAGTCTTCCCACACTGTGGCCAGGTGTGAAGACAACAATGGGAAAACAGCTCATTCCACCCTGGGGTCTAGAGAACTCTCCAGAACAGTTAGAGAAAAGGCAGAGAGGGGTGCCAGCAAACTCTGGCTTAGCATTTAATACCAAATGATCTCGAAAACTACCTTTGCGTGCAAATGTGGTCGACTGTGACCTATGATTTATTGCACTGGCCCTAAAATACAATAAAGAACCTGTTAGTGGCCTCAGCTGGCAAAGGGGCACCTGTCATTTACACAGCTGGAAAAGCCCCTACTTGGTGATGAAAGATAAGGGTGTATCCCTGAGACTGGTTTTCTATCAGAAAATAACAGGACTTGTAGGGTCCCTTATTTACAAAGATATCTAGAAATGATTTTGACTTTGTGGGGTTTTGTTTATTCATTGGGAGGTGATGGCAGGAACTTTGTCCTTGGAGTTTTGGTGCCGTTTGAGTTCCTATAACTTTTTTCTGAGTTTTCATTCCTGCTGCTTCTCCTGATATGATTTGAGGCTTTATAGATATCAAATTTCAGCCTAAATGTTTATTTTTATAAATCTGGTAAGCAGATTTCCTACTGTGGATTGACCCTCTCTCCTTTCAAATCTAGCTTTAGAAGCTGTAGAAACTCCACCCCTGTTGGGAGCCAGCCACGGAGGCCCACTGAGCATTAGGGATCAGGAAGGGCCATTGACCCCGAGACCACTAGGATGCGTTCGGGAGCTATTTGACCCCACTTCCTCCCCCTTTCTACTCAGCGCTAACCAGATTAAGGTCCCGTGAGCTCAAAACATAAAAACTCTGAGACCGGGACGAACACAAGCTAACTTTAGAAGCTCATTGCTCCCATTCTTCCACAAACTGCAGTTTTGGCTTTCACACAACTTATAGTTCAAACTCGGGTCACATCTAAGAGCCTTAGTATTGGTCACAGACTTCTGAGTCATGATCTTAGGATTTATTGAAGTTGAATAAGGTGTAAATTGTAGAATATAGTTTTAGAAGACAGTCATTTTGTTGAAAGAATGTGGCTGGGTTACTTGCAGGTAGCCCACTGTGAACTTTGGACTGGGCCACATTCCAAACATTCTGGGATGGGTCACTTTAGTTTGTAAAGTAAGTACTTAAGTCTCTATAGAATTGTTTAACTTGGTATTAGTACGAAAAGGGTTTACAGGCAGTACGAAAAGGGCTTAAAGGCAGTCATGGATTAAGGTTTCATGGATTAGGTTTAACATCTGTTATGGGATTATACCTGAAAGAACATCTGGTGGGTGGGGAACGCCCCTCACACACCTGACTGTGTATAAGAGACCGGTTGTAATCCCCAATAAACAGCTTCTGCACTAGACAGGGGTCCAGTCTCTTTCTTTCTCTCTCTCTCTCTTTCTTCTTCCCCCCAATCGCCAATGCCGTCTCCACCTTTGGGGTACCCTGAGCCTGGCTGGAGCTGGACTCCGGCACACCCCAAGCCTTTCAGATGGAGATACTCATCTGCTCTCAGATGACGTAATTAATACGTTAATTTTATCTTACAACCTGAAAAATGTATACACTGAAAGCTTTAGGCAGTCCTCAATGTGAGCTTTCTTCTTTTGACTAGTTAACTTACATTAACTTATAAGTTATTAATTTGTAACTATTTTGCCACTGGTTATAATTTACCTGGTTATCTGTTTTTTTACATGAAACTATAAAGTAGTTTATAGATTTAAAAGTGTGGTGTTGGCCAGGGCACAGTGGCTCAAGCCCATAATCCCAGCACTTTGGGTGGTCGAGGCTAGAGGACTTTCCTGAGCTCAGGGGCTCAAGACCAGCCTAGGCAACTTGGCAAGACCTTGTCTCTACAATAAATCAAAAAATTAGCTGGGCGTGGTAGGACACACCTGTAGTTCCATCTACTTGGAAGGCTGAGGCAGAAGGATTGCCTGAGCCCAGAAGGTTGAGGCTGCAGTGATTGTGAGCATGCCACTGCATTCCAACCTGGGTGACAGAGCAAGACTTCAACTCAAAAAAAAAATTAAAACATTAAAAATATGGCATTATTAGTTAAATTTCCAGCATACTTCTTATGGAAGCAAGAGAATAGTGACAAAAGAGTAATTTAGACCTCACTGCACTGGGGTTCCAGGAAACCTGGTCTGATTTGAAAGTGTTCTCATGCCAAACCCACACATGTATACCCTGTCCTTAAAGAGAAAAAAGAAACCCTTAGAGAAATCCGAATTTTGTAAAGAATCTAAATTAAAGCTAAGTATAGTTACCAAAAATCCTCCCAAACTTTTGAGATATTTTCCTGACCACATTGATTCATTTCTTTTTTAGAATGCTTAAACTTTCTCTAAAATAATTTCGAGAGAAAACTTCTACATTCACTTTTTCCTGCTCCCTATAGACAGTCTAAAGAAAAACAAAGAGATTCTCCTAAACAACCATCTTTGATGATATGGGTTCTACATACCCGTAGTTGTGCACTCGTAGTCAAAACTGGTCACATCATTTAGCTTCTTTTCCTGATACTCTGGTGGACCGATACACAGCACATCGGAAACAGTGGAATTTGTCATCTTCAACCACAGATACAGCCACTTGGCTTTGCAGTCACATTCAAATTTATTACCCCTTAAGTCTCTAAGAATCAAAACAAAACACAAACGTCTACACAGAGAAAATGACATGCCTGACATGCTTTGGCAGTAATACAAAACTCCAGCATTATTAACATCCTGATATATGTAAAACCTCCTAAAAATGGAATTTAAAAAATTTGGTGTTTCACATATCTTATTTCTTGTACTTATCATGGACTTTATTTAATGCTCCTCGGCGTCCATGATTTTAACAGTATAGCACACAGAGAGCTCTCAGAGATGACATATCACCATCTCTCCAAACTCTCTTTGAGTTGTCACAATGCCAGGTTGGAAGTGGGGGAGGGATGATAGCAGAACACCCCCAAACACAGGTTCTTGTAAATACAAACAGGACACGGGGGGAGACAGTTTTCACAAACACATTTAACACATTTAGAAACTTCAAACTTTTGTTAAACTACAAGCAGTGAAAAGTAACAAGCATTAGAAGATAAAGCAGGAGGACACACTATCTCAGGGAAGGGCACCTCCCCCCAGCAAGTCTCCTTTACCACTGGCCTCGTGGTACCAAGCATAAAATAGCACAATCCAACACAATACAAACGTGTTATTTCCCAGGACATACTACTTGGTTATAGATGTTTCGCTACAGCATAAAAGAAAAGCAGGGAAGGGGTGAGAGGACTGAGAGACATGATTAACTGCAGCGCAATGACAAGCACACATAACTTAATTTCACTACTTACAGTTCAATCAGAGAGTCTAAATCGCTGAAGACATCCCTGGGTAGTGCTTTTATGTGGTTATTGGCCAAAGAACTAGAACCAGAAAGTCACATTTTAATGTGGTTATGATCTCAGCCTTGTCACTCTCAAATCCCTTTCAATAAAGCCAATGACTTAAAGCAGAGCTTTGGCACCCGTACTGAGATTTTTTTTTAAAAAATGAGTTTAGTTACACAAAGATAGCATTAGAGATGCTGGATTATGATGTACGTTTTCTTGTTTTGTTTCTGAAACAAGCATTTTTTAAAAACTCCTAGGTTATTTGTTTGACTTCCGATAGCTTCCCATGTTTCTTGGAACCAAAGCCAAAGTCCCTTTGGTAGCATGCAAGACCCTCTGTTGTCTAGTTCACTCTTGCTTACCTGTGAGATCGAATCTCACAGGTCTCTGACTACCCAGATCCACCCACACTGGCCTCCTTGCTGTTCCTCAAGGAGAGACACAAGTCTGCTCATCTGCCTGGAATGCTCTCTCCCCAGACACCCACTGGGCCCTCCACTGCCTCTTCAACTGCCATCGTGTACTCTGGCCTCTGCACGTCTCTCTCCCTGCCCTGCTGATCTTCACTGCACCCCCCTTGTTTGACACACCACATATTTTAATTATCTATTTGTTCATTGGCTGGGTGTCCTCCCTCTACGTAAGTCACAAGAGGGTAGAGATCATTGTCTGTTTGTCCACTGCTGTATTCCCAGTTGCTAGAACAATGCCTGGCACACAGTGGGTATTCAGTATATCTTTGTTGAATGAATGAAGGAAGCGCCAAAGTGAGAGTGACAAAAGATGACAGTCTTTCGGGAGAAGTTCCCTAATGGTCCACCTAAGTGAATTCTATTGTTTGTGACTAAGAAAGGACTCGGTAAATACTCTTTACATAAAGACATTCAAATCTAACCCACAAGGAAAACAAAATAAAATCTCCATAAATCAGTATAGGAAGTGATGGATCATGATTCGTTTCACTTTCTCATTAGCAAAGGTTGACCAGAATCTTTTTTTTTTTTTTTTTTTTTTTGAGTCAAAGTCTCACTCAGTTGCCCAGGCTGGAGTGCAGTGGCATGCTCACAGCTACTACAGCCTCAACGCACTGAGCTCAGGTAATCCCTTCTGCTTCAGCCTTCCAAGTAGCTGGGACCACAGGCTCACACTGTTGTACCTGGCTAATTTTTTTATTTATTGTGGAAACAAGGTTTCTCCAAGTTTCCCAGGCTAGTCTCAAACCCCTGGGCTCAAGCAATTCTCTTGCTTCAGCCTCCCAAAGTGCTGGGACTATGGGCGTGAGCCGCCACACCCAGCCCATCTTACATCTTTGCTCTTAATGTTGAAGATCTTTCTAAGATGTCCTAGTCCACTCCCCACCCCCAGGAAATAGACTAGAATGAACAGCATCAAACTCTTTCTCTGATGATTCAGGATTTTGCAGTGGCCCTGTCATCATCCTGCTGAAGATGAATGTCCATACTGCAAGGCTGCTGATGGAGAAAGATGCTGGGTGTTGAAACGCTGCACACTGAGTCTGTGATTTCCCCAAGCACTGCACTCTAATGTGAGTCAGCCAAGAATCTGATGCCTACCTTTGTTTTCTTTTACACATATGAATGCAAACATCAAAACATATAAATAATAAGCATGCAAGCAATTCAGCACCAACCTCTTTAATATATATATGAAATTAGTCCTTTGTAGCATCATAATAAAATATCCCAGAAAGATAAATCAGAGAAATGAGTTTTCCTCCATGGAGTCAGTTAGCTGGTCATGGAAGAAATCTTTGAACCCAAACACTCTTGCTTCAAGATATTAACTGAATGTGGCGAGCTCCATAGTTTCTGAATTATGCCCCTCCCCTCCCCCTCTCGGTAACCACAATGGATTAAAATACAATTTCATATACTATTTTACCCTTCCTTTCTAAGTGATTTATTTGTACATTTTTAAATGTGTTGGAAAATAGACTGAAGATACTCTGGAAGGAATTTTTGAAAATTTTTAAAAGGGGATGTTTGCTTTCTTTTTTTCCTAGTTGGTCACTTATTCTGTAAAGAATAAAAGTGTTTTAGCTGATTAAACACTAATTATTTAGCTAAAAACCTTGGCTAATTGAAAGTTATTGTAGTGAAATTATAAAAATATACAAAATGGTAAAAGCCAAAAAGAAAAAAAAAAAGCAGAGTGTTTAGCAATTGTTCCAATTGTTCAATTTAGAATTCAGAAAGCAGAATTATCTAGATGGCTTATCCATATCCACCCCACTCACGCTAAGTGCTTAATGCCTCCCTTTCAACTTCATTTTGTCTACAAATTCATGGCACCTACTACTTCATTTCTAAAACCATTTAACAGCTCTCTGTCCCCTGGGGTTTATGAGACTGCTGGAAACAAATGTTCTAGATTTTAGTTACAGGTTGGCACAGTTTTTTCAATGCTTTGAAACCTGATCTATGTTTTCTTTACCTATGAATATGAGTCTGTTGGTTTTAGAAAAGTTTATAAAAGATAAAAATCAGATACTTAATTTAAACAAGCAACTTCCAGATAGGAACTTCCTTAAGTGCAGGAGTGAACTTTAGAGAGTTGATATCTTCTCTTTGCTCAAAAGTTTTTGTTTGTTTGTTTGTTTGTTTTTAAAGGGAGGGAGAGTTGGGAGGAAGATCAATTCATTCTTTAAACAATGTATTAAATGCTTTAATTACTAAATACATTTCCAGTCTTGAGGAGTCAACTGTAAAAGTCACCTGACTCACCCAGAAGTAGAGTACCTATGAAAAACCCAACTCTGTAAGGAACCCATTGCCAAGTAGGATAAGGAATCCATTGGTCAAGTAGCGAATCAGAAAGTGTATCCTATTTTTTAGCCCTGTGCTAAAAATGGGGTAAGAGCAGAGTTCATGGAAGCTTGGCAAGGGGCTTGTCCTCGAGGAGATTTTGATACTGCTGGGAAAGCAAACTAACACCCATGAAACAGCACCAACCAGCATGGCCAGTGTAGACAGTCAAATGCTGGCTGCATTAAGCCAACAGAAAGGGTGAAGAGGGAGGTGGGAATGGCTTCATGGGAGAGACAGAACTTAATCTAGACTTTGACTGAAAAGGCACATTCCGGGAGACGGGGCGCAGAAGAAACAGCATCCCAGGAGAAGAAAAGAATGTTAAGAAAAGCCAGCGATGGAATGAGCTGGGTGTGCATGGGGTGGGGGTTAGGGGGAACTGACAGCCCAATTGTTCTGAGGACACTCCGAGAAATGAGGCTGGAGAGATGGGAAGCGGAGGGCCCTGCAGGCTTGACTGCAAAGTGGTCGTACTCGCTGGGATGAATTGAGTTGGGTTCTCCACCAATGCAGCCGGTGTGTTTGGGACCCAAGCTCGGGACTCTCTCACTCCCTCTGTATCTGTGCTTTGTGTGTGTCACACAGGAAAGGTCGTGCCTCTTAAACACATGAACACATAACACATGGAATAAGCGTACAAGCACGCACACACAAACACAATTGTGTCCATGCACGCATATAAATCCATGCACCGGTGGACACTCTGCATGCATGCACAAAGAATGCAAATATCCATGCACGAGACCTGCAGGTTCATACCCTCCTACTGACAGAAGAACCGTAGCCAATTGGGCAAATGAAAGTCTCCGTCTGAGCTAACTCAGACGGTCACATAGGCTTTGCTTATAATCTGCCCAGAGCTTTTACTCAAAAACAAAGCCCCTAATTCCTGACTTCTGGAAACCAGACTATCTGGCTACAGCTGTTCCCCTCCAGACACCCACAGCTGTCCTCTTAGCAGACCCTGTCTGGCCACCCAAACTGCCGAGGCTACTTAATGGTCCATGGAGAAAATTGAGACTTCTTATTGAGTAGAGGGAGGGAATGATGTTGCTGGTGATGATGATGGTGAAGATGATGATAACCCTACCTTGAGCATTTACTGTGATTACTATGGTTAATGGGCCGGATGTTTTGCAAGCAAGCATTAACCCATTATGTACATCAATCCCATGAGGTCAGCATAGCCATCCCCTTTTTAAGGAGGAGAAAACTAGGGGTCAGAAAAGCTAAGGAATATTAATATTAAGATGAATAATGAAAGTAATATTAGTATTAATTTCAATGATGACCTTGAAATTTGAACCCAAGTCTATGCGACCCCCAAAACTGTAATCCTAGCCTCTACTGGAATGTGGAGATTTGACACCTAGATTGAATCTGAAAAAAAGGTCAAAACTTCGACAGGAAGCAAAGTTTAGAGCAATAATGTTAACGAGAGTGTGACACTCTCTAGTACCAGCTGTGTGATCCAGATGTTTAAACAGCCCCCACCCACTCTCTCATCTCTTGTCCTAAAGGCTTTAACTTAGCCAGAATGTCTGCCTGGGAACAATCTAAAATCAAATGCCCACAAGGCCTATTGACAGACACCTTTACCAATATCAGGGCTCGATGTGGACAACTGTCTCATTAGTTGACTGTGTCCACACGGTATCAGTCATGTTACACATGCTGAAGTTACAACCACCCCTGCCCAACACCCCTAAGTCAAAGCTCCCCCAATTTTCCCTAATTTCCTATTTACAGCAAACAGGCTGACTATGGAGATGAGACATGCATTATCTTACTTGAACACAAAATATCTATCATGCAAATGGGACCTTTGTCCTGGCTAACAAATTACTCCTACCAAGACAATGACTATTTTTACATGTTCATAAACATGGTTACTATTTTTTTACGGTTTTATAAATGTGCTAAATGTGTGTACTTGCTTCATTCTGACATGCCAATTCAAATCAATTTGTTAATTTTTTTCTTCCCAGAAAGCTATTAAAGAACCAATAAGCTTAGCTGAAGCAGCAGATTAATCCAACATAAAAGAAAAAGTGATTTGCATTCAAATGAGAGGAGGCGCAAAAATGTCTCTATTCCACTTCGTCCTATTCTGATCCTACACTGAACGGAGTCATCTGAACCTTGGTTTCCAAATCTGTAAAATGGGGACTCACAGATTATCATGGAAGATAAAGAGGAGAAGGCTCATTCAGCGCCAGCCTTGTGTCTGGCACCAAGTAGGTCTAAGAGGCATGACTTCCTACCTGTCTCCTCCTTGTGTGACACTGGTCCCTCACACCTCAGTGCTCCCCATGCCACACGCAGTCATGAACTGCGGTTCAAGATGACAGAGTAGACCACAAAGCCCAGCGTGTGAGTAGTCACACCGAGCCAGTGTCTGATCGACAATAAAGAAACCTCTTCTGCAACCTAGAAATGGGTTTCCTTCAGAGAATCTGACAATATGGAAATAACAGTCAAGAGAGGGGCACCAGGAACTGAATCTTACTCCACACATGACAGGATTTACCACACGGTTTATAGGACTTACAGGTGAGTCAGGTCACGGAGGCCACGAAAGGCATTTCTTGAAATGGTTTCTATTTTGTTCCCTTCGATGAACCTAAGAAGAACAACAGCATAACAAGAATGCATTTTCTGTGCTTAATATCGCTTTTAAAAATATTGGAATGTTTTTGGAATAAAATCTAAAAGCATTCATTAATTATAAAAGTTCATCTCTGAAGACTAGATCAGCTACCCCAAATTCCACGTGGGAGCAGGGCAAGCGTCCAAGAACACACACGAGTATGTGTTCCACACTCCTTCCAGAAGCAGCATAGAAGTCTTCAAATTCAGAGCTGGCAACATTGGGTAAAAACATCTTTACCCGATGGGTGGAGAAGAAAGCACTATACAAAGGCAAGAAATTCTCATATCTCTGCAAGACTGGGATGCTTCCATTTTCCCTACTCAATCCCTCTAACGTTTCACAATGTCTGGATGTTCATATTTTTGTTCATATCATCGTCCCTTGCGGGAGGTCCATTGTTTTATTTGTCCATAGCAAAGTGTTTCCTGGCTCCCAGCAACCTTGAGTTTATCATTGTCCTTCATGGTCTACTCTCTGAGTAAATGGGTAGCAAGACAGGGAAACCCTCAAGATCTCTAAACCACTAGGAAAAGGAAGCAGAATGAAGCTGACGAGAGATGAAACCTCTTTCTCTGTTCTAAAATGGCACCAGGCTTGCCCATGGGATCTTACCATAAGAACACTAGCCATGCTTTAAGGTCTTTGTGGGAAGCTATGACACAAATGCACCATAGCTATTCCCTACGGCTACTGAGGACTGAAGTTGAGTTTCTAGCATTGTGTTACGTCAAATTGAAGAGGGTCTTTGATGAGATGGTTCAAGGGAGAGGCTTTGCAACACCGCACCATCCACGACATCATTCTTGACTCTCGCACTTAGAACTTTCAGATGCTTGTTTTCTAAAAGTCAGGTGTCTCCAGTCACAGACTTCAACGTCAAGGGATCAGCTCACTTCCTACCCAGTGACCTTGCCAAGAAGGTGAGCTGCCTGTAAGAGGAAACTCGTCGCTTTCCATTTACTACATCCATCGGTTGTTTGTGTGCTTTGATAGACCCTTGTTGGATTTCGCGCCGCCTCTTCGCCACATTTTGCATATTATACATACAATTAGAGTATGAGGAAAGTATACATATTATGTTATGTATACTCTGGAGAAATAATCCCTCCAGAGGCGTCTTTCCTCGAGACACAAAATCAACAGAGAGCTTTCTTATACCCAGGATAGATCTGGAATTCCAATACCTACCTGTTGAACTCAGATAAGAAAGCAGAGACAAAGACTTTAAAAATCCTCTGAATGCTAAGTAAGGAAATCCAATCTGATAGCAGGATTAGCATGATTACAAAGTTACCAAAGATAAGGATGAAAAAATTTACAGGGGAGAAAGGACAGGGAAGTGCGGAAAGGCAGCATTCAGAACAAGGGCAACGCTCATGGCTAGGAAAAAAAAGTGCTGCACATCCAAAAAGGGAGAAACTGACCGTTTTTGTTTTTGTAGGAGAAAAAAAAATTAGACTCTTAACAGCAGTTCATAGGAGACACTGCATAGGGGACACAGGACAGTAAACGAAAAGCATGAAGTTGTACTCCCCAAATAGGGAGACTATTAAAAAAGACGTAACCCTCAGCTCTATTTCTGGCTGATCAGCAAATCTATGCCTAGTTAGGAGAGGTAAAAATATCCAACGCAATTTCCAATTGTGCTTACTACATGACAAATTAAATGTCAGCCGAGAATGAATGAACATCCCTCCTTCTTCCTCTTTGTCTCCAGCCCACTCCTACCCTGGAATGTTTATAAACAAGTGCACTAGAAAAGGTCAGCGCTGAAAAGAGAATGGGGCTGTCTCCATTTCTCCACCCCTAAAATCCTTGCAGAGATGCTGGTCCAGCACAAAAAGCAATCTGGCCATTCTACTGAGATAGCACATACTCGGCACATAGACAAAGGCCAAAACTTACAGGTATTCAAGATGAAAAAGTCCAGCGAACGCGTCATCCCGGATGACCGTGAATGAGTTAGAATTCAGCAATCTGAAAATAAGGGACAGATTTCAACACAGAGATGTAAAACTTGGAAGTCACATGGTGAAGCCATTTCTATTTCATTTGCTGTGTCTGATCAGTGGGCACATAACCTCCTCTCGGGCCTAAGAACAACCCATTAAGTCCCCAACCTGACTCACAGTCTGCTGATGGAGACAATGGCCAGCGATTTCCTTTTGGCCAGGTTTTCCAGTCATTACCTAAAATGTATGCTTCTCTTCCCTGTGGGGTCTCAGTAAATATGACCTGGTAGTTGTTATTTTGAAACATTCTAACACTCAGCACAACTTAACAGCCAGTGAATGCTCTATGATGCACAAGCAATCGTGGAATGAGAGATCTAAAAAGATCTCAACCAAATTTGTTTTTAGAGACATTTGAGCCCAGAGAAGTTAAGGGACCTGACCAAAGTCACACAACTGGGACAAAACAAAAACAAAAACCCACAACAACAAAAACCTATCTCCTACATTATACATTCCCAGGAGAAACAATTTTTAAAGTTTAAGAAACCTTCAGAAGACTGTGACTACATAGTTTTCTGTCTGAGTCACCACTATAGTCTGTTGGCAAAGAGGACTTGAAATTGTATTTCTATTATGTGGAAAGTATATTTCAATAGCACTCAATTTCTAAGAGAGGTCAGACTTTAAAATGTTAAGTATAATGTTATAAGTAAGCATATAACATTTCAAGAGCAATATCAAGAGCAAGTTTATTTTTTTATTTTTATAATTTTATTTTTTGAGTCAGGGTCTCACTCTGTTGTCCAGGCTAAAGTGCAGTGACATGCTCACAGCTCGCTGCAGCCTCAACTTCCTGGGCTCAGGAGCTCTTTCTGTCTCAGCCTCCCGAGTAGCTGGGACTACAAGAGTACACCACCATGCCTGACTAGTTTTTGGTTTTTGGTTTTTTGGTTGTTTTTTTTTTGGTAGAGACATGGTCTTGCTATGTTGACCAGGCTGGTCTTGAACTTCTGGTCTCAAGCGATCCTTCTGCCTCAGCCTTCCAAAGTGCTGGGATTACAGGTGTGAGCCACCACACCTGGCCAAGAGCAAGTATATTTAGGGTGAGTACTGATCTCCTATATTTCATTTCTCTATATTTTTCTGCAGCAGCTTGCTTGTTTTAATTCCAATCTCATCTCAAACTTAAAGCCAGGCATGGCGGCTCATGCCTGTATTCCCAGTAGTTTGGGAGGTGGAGGCGAGAGGACTGCCTGAGCCCAGGAGTTCAAGACCAGCCTGGACAACTTGGCAAACCTCTATAATAGATCAAAAAATTAGCTAGGCATGTGGTACACCTGTAGTCCCAGCTATTTGAAAGGCTGAGGCAGAAGGATTGCCTGAGCCCAGAAGGCAAAGGCTGCAGTAGCCGTGAGCGTGCCACTGCACTCCAGTCTAGGTGACAGAGTGAGACTCAGACTCAAAAAACAAACAAAGACAGAGTGAGACTCAGACTCAAAAAACAAACAAACAAAAAATTAAGAAACCAATATAAAGAGAATGAGGTAGCTCATTCTCCTGCCTGTCACTGACGTGTTTTTGAAAACTGCTTTTCGGACACTTTTTTTAAAATCAGCAAACATTAACCAGCCTGGGTTACAGGGCATGCACGACATGGCCACTCACCCCAGTGACTTGGACATTTCACCCAGAGGAGCGGGGGCAAAGAATAGTTATGAGTGTGGGCTTTGGGTCCTGGGTTAGAATCCTGACTTTGTGACTTGGGGGACATTACTTAACATCGCTGGGCTCAATTTCCTCATCTGTCAAATGGGAAAATTTAAATGTCCTCCTCATAAGGCTATGATGATAAAATAACATCATGCACATAAATGCACAGTATGCTTCCTGCTTAAACTCAGTCAACTAGAAAAAGTTTTATTTACTGCCAGAACAACACTAAGATTTCAAAATGTAAGTTTTCTTTTCAAGTGAGATGTCCGGGAAAGAGTTCATGACATTGTGGTCATGGTTCAATGTGATTACCTCCCCAGTGGCTGGATCTGGGTGTTGGGATCTACAATAAATCCTCAAGGAAACCATGTACCAAACTAAGGAAAGAAAACGGAACAGGAGCCTTGGTGCTTGGCTGGCGACACCACAGGGCAAATTAACACCAAGAGCCAGTCACTTTACTCATGGAACTGGGCTATTTTAGGAAGGATGGACACTGAAGAGAGCACCCTTCAAGACCCACACCCCAGGGGCCCGCAGTTGCCAGAGAGAAAGTCCTGTACTCACAGTAGCTGCAGGGAGGGCAGGTGGGAAAACATTCGGTCCTTGATTTCCGAGAACGTTCCATTGACCAGGCTCCTACAGACAAGAGCGGAACAAAAGGAGACCTCAGTTTCTTCTAGGAAGTGCCAGGCAGGGCAGGCAACCGGCCTCACCCTCTACCTGTACCTCAAACGTGTCCTCTCAGGAGTGAGGCTTATCGCAGTTGGCCAGGGTCTTCCCAGGGTGGGAACCAGAAGAGTCGAGGCACTTTCCGATGAAGTGGATCGACCCGAAAACTAGTCTGAATAACGAAAACCTTTACCATCAGCGCCTTTTCCAGACGCTCTCTCAGTCCACCTGAATCAATCCCTTGGCTTCCTTTTCCTAACTACAGGAGGCCCCATCTGGAAAGGGATCATCACTTCACCTCGGCCCATGATTCTGTTTGTGTAGACACAGCATGAATGTTGGTCGACGAAACTCCGGGGTAGGATTAAGCATTCCCCTCGGGAGCTCAACTCTGAAAGACACTCAGAGCACTTCTGATTAAATGCACCGTGAAAGCCTTGGGGAAAATCTCAGAGACACCTGAACTTGACTGTGTGGTGGGAAGCAGTACCATCTGCCAAACAACATGGTCAACAGGGGGCAAGAGGTTTGGTTCCACCTCTGCCCCCAGGCCTCCTATCCTTTCTGGCCACAGCGGGACCTCCATATATTATTTCAGAATTATTTCCAGTTAACACGCAGATCAATTAAGCAGCCGCTGGTCTAAAGGATTTTATAAGGAGAATCCTAATTTCTAGAATCCTCCTTGTCATCAGACTTGGTAATATTAGGAGTCAAAAAAGTCTGTTCCCACCAGCCAAACTCTCCTAACTTTTGGTAAATGCACTTGAAAGCCTGGGTCCAGGTCCCTACAACTTGTCTTGGGTGGGAGGTGGGTGAAAGCTGGACATGAGAGAAGGGGTGAGCTCAAGCACTGTCAACCGTGGGGATTCCCTGTCTCTAGCACTGAGTGGGCACCATCCACCTTCTCCGGAAACGAGGGAGTGGTCTTAGTAGGAAAACTGTCCTAGCAGTCAAGAGTAGCCCACAGCCCTTCCACGGCCATAGGAGAACCCGTCTCTCCGCTGGAGTGGCTGAGTGAAGGTGAGGCAAAAGCATCCTGGGCCAGGTAGATAAACAACCTGAGGTCCTTTCCTGTCAGCTCCTCTGGCCTGAAACAGCCACCAACACAACCGTGCGGCGGGGAAGGGGACCAGAAGCCCTCCTGAACTCAGAGCAAGAAGTCAGACTGACTTCCACACTTGGCCCCTGGACTGGGCACCCTCAAGGCTCTGCCAAGCCCTCTGTGCCCCCTCTCCCAGGCCACGTGGGGGCAGGCCCTTGGCTTCCGGAGGTCACACCTACCTTGACCCCTGCTCTTTCCAACCTACAGTGTGGAGAAGTCGTGGGAGGCCACGCTGTGAACCTCGCCCCAGACCTAGGGGCAGTGAGGCCTCACCCCTTCCCAGTCCGCACTCAAGCCAGTCGTGTTGATCTGCGTGTATGCATGCCCCCACACAGTCACACACCCCAAACACACACACACACACACACACCCTCACACACGCTGCCTCTCAAACTTTAGTGCACCCAGAGTCGCCCGGGGACGCCGAATGCACGCTCCAGGGCTCCACTCCCAAGACCGCCCCAGCGCCGACCGGATTCTGCATTGGCACAGGCTCTCCCAGGTGAGTCTGGTGCAGGTGGCCCGCGGGCCACACACTGAGAAACGCCGCCCAGGGGCTCGTCTGCGCGCCCGGACGCCGGGGCCGGGATCCCTCCGCCCTCCCCGGG